TCCTCCTCCTCATTCCCACTTTTCCAACTGATCCGGTTGGTTTTCTCTCCATCCTCCTCATCCTCATTCCCACTTTTCCAGCTGATCCAATTGCTTTGCTCTCCATCCTCCTCCTCTTCCTCATTCCCACTTTTCCAGCTGATCCGATAGCTGCACTCTCCCTTCCTCCAAAGGCCTGTCCACTCTGGGAAAACTTGTCTCTCTTCATGTGTGTCCTCAGACTTTGGCGCCTGCAGGGAATATTTATCCAAAAAAAACCCCAAGGAATATTTATCAGGCAAAATCTTTGGAGCCTGGCAGCATCTGAAGGGAACTGAGAGGTCCTGAGGGATCCGTAGGGATCAGATGGAGGAACTTTCCCAGGCTGGACGTGGACAGGGCAGGAGAAGTCCGGGTGCAGACAGGACTTTGATCCAGCTTTTCTTTGGACATCAGGAAAAGGTTCTTCCCCCAGAGCTGGCTGGGCACTGGAACAGCTCCTCAGGGAATGATGACATTCCCAAGGCCGCCAGAGATCCAGGAGCGCTGGGACAGGGACAGGGTGGGATTGCTGGCATGTCCTGGGCAGGAATTGGATCCGTGATCCCGGTGGGTCCTTTCCCACTCGGGAATTCCATGATGGGACAGCTCCTGTGCCCACATTCGGCGGCCAGGTTTCTTCAGCTCCTGCCTTCCTTTTATTCCCAGTAATTTTCATGGATCAGGCTGTTCCCCCAAAAACCAGATCCTCCAGCTCTGCCCGAGGAGCTGGGCTCAAATTTAAACTCGGCTCCAGGGAATGATCCTGGAATCAGCCCTGGGGACTTCCCCATCCGGGAGGTCTCTCCTGGCTCCTATTCCCTATTTTGTGGTTTAGGGATCAATTCACGGCACATCCCATGGATGGATCCTCCCAAATAACGGGATGACGCAGGAGGTGGAGATGAGGTGGAGAAGGAGGAAAATGTCCTCAAGGAGAAGGTGGAATCGGGAAAAATGGGGGAGAGATCTCCCAGCTCTGCTCCTTCCTCTGGGAGGAGGAACAAAGGGATTGAGGGTTGGGATCTTCCAATGGAAGATCCCCGGTTGGAAGTGAGGTCCAGTTTTGAGGTGAGGTCCCAGTTTGGAAGCGAGGTCCAGACTGGTGGTGAGGTTCATCTTGGAGGTGAAGTCCAAGGCTGTAGGATGGACCCGGCAGTGGGATCTGCCCCCTGGAAGAATTCCTGACAGGTGGAATTCCTGCAAGGAAATGAGCCATGGGAATTTTGTTCCCTGCTCCAAAGTCCCAGGAAAGGGCAGTGATTAAAATGTCCGTTTATCCATGGATAATTCACCAGTGACGGGATCTTCAGCTGGAAGCTGGCCAGCAGGGAGGCTGCTCCCAGCTCCCTGCTGCGGCTCCAGAATCCGTGTGGATTCTGGAGATCCCCACGGGTGCAATCCTAAAGGACAGAGCCAAGAGGAGCAGCAGGTAGCTTTGTGGAACTGGAGACGATCCATGCTCAATCCCATATTAAACCCCCAAAAAATCCATGGGAAGAGAACTTCCAGAGGCTGAGCGGAGTCTCCGGTGTCTAACACGGATTTAAACTTTGCTGGAAGTTCTTCCCGACTTGGGATCAGCATCGGGACGTTTCCATCCTCCACCCCAATCTTGCCGGAGCCCAGGTGGGATGTGATGGAGCAGCAGCGGCTTCTCCGGCGCCTTGTTTCTTCAGGAAAGTGGGAGAAGGTCGGGTGGTGGCCCAGGAGGGCGGGTGGTGGCCCAGGAGGGCTCTCGGCACCATGGTGGCAGCTCAGGTTCCTCAGGCGCGCGGATCCTCATGGAATATTCATGCGGAGACGGTGTCAGCTCTCCACCAGCCCCGGCGTCCCACCGGCACCGTCGGGAGCGTCGAGAAGATCCCACAAAAACCCCGCTGTGCCCACGGAGGAGACTTGGAGGGATGCCCCATCCCTGCCCCGTCCCCTCCGGCGCTGGGATGGATGTCCCACCCTAGAAGCTCCACCATTCCCGGCTCGGCTCTTCCAGAACCTTCTCCTGCAGGGCCGGGTGAAGGTAGAAGCCGGGGTGGGAAGGGGGAGGTGTTTGGGATTGGGCAGGGCTCACCCAGCTCGGGAAAGGGACGCGCGGGGATCGGGAAGGGGTCGGGGATCGGGATGAGCCACCGGGAAGCTGCTCCAGAACTTTTGGGATGGCTCCGTCCTCATCCTCATCCCTCTTCCTCCCTTCTTCCCAGCACCTGCCAGAATCCACCAGAATCCACCAAAATCCGCTGCTTCAGAATTTATTTCTTTGTCTCTTTTTTCCTCTTATTCCTTTTTCCCTCCATTTTTCCTTTTTTTTTCCTCGTTTTCCTCCCCTTATTTTTCCCAGTGCTTTCCCCTGCTTGTTTGGAGTTTTTTTCCTGCTTTATCCTTGGCTTTTATTTTTTTCCCCTTAATCCCAACAGTTTCTTCCCCCACATTTTTTCTTTCCTCTATTTTGATCCCATTTTTTCCCCTCTGCTGATTCCTCCTGGGATTTCTTTCCCAAATTTTTCTGGGTATTTTTCCTTTCTTTTATTTTTCTACTTTCCCCCTGTTCTTCCCGCAGGGTTCCCCCCTTCCTCCCATTTTATTTTCCCTCAGTATCTTTTCCCTCTTTTTTTTCATTTTTTCCCCTTTTTGTTCATTTTTCCCCTCTGCTTATTCCTCCTACAATTTTTTCCCCTAAATTTTTCTGTGTTTTTCCCCTTTTTCTTTTCTATTTCCCCTCCCTCATTCCCCCACCCCATTTCCCCCCGTTTTTTCCCCTCCATTTTTCCCTCCCTGTTTTTCCTTCACAGTCTCCCCACCATTTCCCCCCTGTTCATTTTCTTCCCCATTTCCCCCTCCACTTATTCATTTTCCTTCTTTTTCCTTTTTCTCATTTTACCTCTTTACCTTTTTTGCCTTTCACCCTCATTTCTTTATTTCTTTTTTTTCCCCTTTTTGTTGCTTTTCCCAATTTTTCTCTATTTTTCCTTTCCCCTCTTTCCCCCCCTGTTTTTTTTTCCCTTTTCTTCCTCTTTTCCCCCTTTTTCTTTCCTTTTTCCCCTTCTCCCAGCACCCTCCAAACTCCGTTATTCCCTGCTCATTCCCCTTCCCATTCCCTGCTGGGCACGGACACATCACCTGGAGCTCTTTTCCATATTTTTTTTCCCTGGATTTTTCCCTCCGATCCACCTCACCCCGTGGATGTCCCAGAGGCTTTTCCCCATCTCCAGCTCCTTTAGGAGCGCACGGAGCCGCTGATCCAAGTTCCATCCCCACGTCCCCACTCCAGGAGAGGCTCCAGGAGATCCCAGATCCCACACGGATCTCTCGGGAAGGTTTTGGGATGGTGATGCTGGATCCCAGATCCCACACGGATCTCTCAGGAAGGTTTTGGGATGGTGATGCTGGGTCCCAGCCCACATTCCTTGGATCAGCTGCTTAATCCCATTTTTTCCCACACATCACCCCAAAACCATCGTTGTTTTACTGGCAGGAACATCTGAGGGATCCGAATCCTTGGTGTCCATGGATTTGGCAGCCGGGAGAGGACCCTGATGGGATTTTCCCATCACCAGCTGCTCCTCACTTTGCTTTTCCTTCCCAAGGAACCTCAGAAATTCCTGGCACTGGGATTTTTTATCTCTGAGCATCCACCAGCAAACGGCAGCTCTGGGACTGGAGGGGTTTTGGGTTTTTGATTTCCATTTCTGAGAGTTCCATGGAAAAGAAAGGAATGTAATCCAACCAACCTGGAGGCATGGCTGGAAGGGCAGAGAATGCTCTGGGAGCAGAATTCCAGAGCCTGAGCCGCGATTCCAATATTTCCTCATTAAATAAATTAGCGTGAAAACAGCTCCAAAGGTCCCATGCCCTGGTGGGATTACAGACACGGAATCCTCATCCTCGACTTTTCTCCTCTGATCCATGGGAAAAGTGGAGCATCCTGGGAATAAATCACAGCTCCCAGAGCGCTGCTTTAGTCCCGGCTTTAAAGAGTTCCTGATCTTATCCCGGTGGGATTCAGCCCCTCAGATCTTTTATTTTCCCGTTCTCCTCAGTTTTCTTCCTGCTTGCTCCACCTCTCTCTGTGGCCTGGAGACTCCTGGGGGTCATTTCCAACTCCAGGGTTTCTTTGTCCTTGGGGGAAAAATTCCCAAGGGTAAAACTTGACCCTTTGTCCCAGCCTGAGGTGGGACTGGGAATTCCCACAGGCTCCCTGTGGTTTCCTTGTGGGCATCATGTCCCAATCCTGCAGAATCCAGGAGCTCTGGATCTTCTGGATCCCTGGATCACCTGGCCTGGCAGCCAGGTGAGGTCCAGGTGAGCTGGAGGTGAGGTCCTGGCTGGAAGTTGGATCCAGGCTGGACGTGAGGTCCTGTTGATGGTGAGGTCCAGGATGGAGGTGAGATGAGGTCCTGGCTGGAGATGAGGTCCTGGCTGGAGATGAGGTCCTGCTTGGAGGTGAGGTCCTGGTTGGAGGTTGGGTCCTGGCTGGACGTTGGGTCCTGGTTGGTGGTGAGGTCCTGGTTGGTGGTGAGGTGCGGTCTTGGGTTGAGATGAGGTCCTGGTTGGAGATGAGGTGCTGTTTTGCTTTGAGGTGAGGTCCTGGCTGGAGGTGAGGTCCTGCTTGGAGGTTGGGTCCTGGTTGGAGGTGAGGTCCTGGTTGGTGATGAGGTCCTGCTTGGAGGTGAGGTGCTGTTTTGGGTGGAGGTGCTGTCTTGAGTTGAGGTTGTGTTTGGGGTTGAGGTGAGGTCCTGGTTGGTGGTGAGGTCCTGGCTGGAGGTGAGGTGCTGTTTTGCTTTGAGGTGAGGTCCTGGCTGGAGGTGAGGTCCTGACTGGAAGTTGGATTCAGGCTGGAGGTGAGGTCCTGGTTGATGGTGAGGTCCAGGACGGAGGTGAGGTGAGGTCCTGGCTGGAGGTGAG